CAATTTACATGATTTTTTTTTTCTTTGTTCTTTCCTAGGATTAGAATGTTAAAAAAAGTTTTCAGCTTTAAAAACTTCCACTATGTGATTTCTCATTAAAATAACCTATCGCGTCGTTAAAAGTGGGAGCCGCCCTCCCACTGGCGGAGGTTGCGCGGTTGGTTTTTAAAACATCTATTGGTTTTGAAATCCTGGACGCGAAACCAGCTAAAAAAAATAATAATAATCATTCCTAGCAGAAAAAAAAAATAAAATAAACCAGTGGGGGAAGTCTGGAAAAGGGGTGTACGCAGGAGCGCCGGACGCCCCGCTCCCTCCTTCCTGGTTTCTGTACAAAAGAATTTTAAAAAATAAAACCCCAAACTCAGGAGGGAAGGCGGGCGGCTGGGAGGAGCCGGGCAGAGGTTAGACCTGGGAGTCGGCACCCAAGCTGTGGAACTCATCCGGGGTTTTGTCGCTCTGGCTCGCTCCCCCCTGACGGAAACCCGAGGCGATTTCGTCAAAGGTCCGACCCTTTGTCTCTGGCACCTTGAAGTAGGTGAAGATGAAGAAGAGGACTAGCAGCACCGTGAAGATGATGAAGACGTAGGAGCCGCAGAGTTGCTGGGAAGGAGAGGGGAGGAGGAAGGGGTGAGTGACGGACCCCCCAGCGACCCCCCTGCCCGTACCAGCCATCGCGGCCCCGTACCCGCCATGGCGGCCAGGACCCGGCTCCTCCATCCCTTCCGGAGCTGGAGAGGCCCCCCAAGGTCCTTCCCCAGATCCCAGCCCTGTCCCTCTTCCCTCGGGGCCCTCACCCCACTGAGCCGTCCCAGCCCAGCTTTCAGGGCTCAAGAGACGCGACAGGAGCCAACCGGTGCGAGGCGAGGCTGGCCTGCCCAGGCCCTGTTCCCACCAAGAGCGCCAGGAGATGATTACCGCGATGTACTGGAAGCCCATGCCCACGATGAAGTTGGAGGTCCAGTTGGACAGCCCAGCAACAGCGAAGGCAGCGGGACGAGGGCCTTGGCTGAACAGTTCCGCCACAATAAACCAAGGGATGGGGCCTGGACCGATCTCAAAGAAGGCCACGAACCCGAAGATGGCCACAATGCTGAGGTAGGACATCCAGGGCATTCGGTCCTAGATCGAGGGACAGAGACAAGGTTGGGTCGGTGAAGGGGGACGAAGCGTCTGGCCATCCCAGGCTCGAGCGTGGTGCTGGCAGAGAGGCCACGAGGTCAGAGACTGGATTTCTGGGACCTCAGGAGAGATCTGGGCAGCAGAGACCCCTCAGCCACCACCCCTAGGAGAACACGTCCTTCCTCCTCTCCAACCAGACCTCTTCCTCCTCCTCCAGGCCGCCACAGCAAGGGGTGGCAGGCTGGACCTCCTCCCAGCCCACCCATCCCCTCAACACCCCCCCGCTCACCAGCAGCGTCAGGGCGACGGTCATGAGCACCGCACACCCTGCCATCCCCCCCAGGCCGACGAGGCG